CACTAAGAATATTGAGTCCTATATTGATTGTTGATTGTTTAATACTGCACAAGATTATAGCCTGTGTACAGACGTCCCCTCCTCTCCCGATTTTTTCCTGAGGGAGGAGGGGACGTCTGTACACAGGCTACAAGATTAAAGCCAGGCAACTTAATGGCACACATGATTGCTCTTGTTTCCTTACAACTCAGGGCTGTCATTACTAGCCATGAACCACTGCAGCAAAATCAGCCGACAGCTCTACCACTTGCTCCCTTCTTCAACAAAACATGTTCTTTGGATTCACTTGATCCAGTCATTTCTTTTCACTTCAACAAACTGGGAGCCAGATTCCATAAAAATGTTACCATGAGAGCCATCATTGTTAATCACTGTCTTCATCACTTTCAACAATTTGCCGACTCTTTTTCTTTTTTCTCTGTGAACCCTTATCTTCACTATTTGTTCTTTTTCTGCTTTCAAGTTTGTCATCTTCTGATTCCATGCCTTCTTTTGCATTCAACAGTCTCTCCTTATCTTCCCCCTCTTCATCACTCTCCAATCCTTCAGCACCTTCACTTTCAACTTCATCTGACTCACTACCAAATCCTGAAAACAAAATCAACAACAACTTTGTTTCAGCACGTTATTCTGTGGAGATCTTGTCTCAATCTGTCCCTGTTCAATACAAATCCATCAGTATTTCTGTCATTTCAGTCCTAGATTTTCCTGTAGCACAGAGACTGTCCTGTATAATACAGTCAAAGCTCTCCTTGTGACCACTTTCATAAGTGGCCAGCTCTAGTTACAACCACCTTTGTGAAAACCCAAACTGTGATTTCAACTTTGTAATGAAACCTCTCATAACAGAAGGCTCCTGTAAGTGACCACAGCTACTTTTGGGATTACCCAACTGGACTTTTCTTTTGTTTTTAAGCTCTCTTAAGGACCCACTCAGAGTCTTATTCATATAAATCAACACTTTAATGAAACTGCACACTGCGCTGATGGTTCATTGATAAAGATCTTACATACAGTGCAGTAAAAGTTCCAGGTCATTTCTGGTTGCCTAGCGACCACAAGTTAGACGTGTCTGAGATAGACACTCATTTAACAATTTAGTTCTTTTGTCTTTTCTTTATAAATTGTTAATGAGTTTTTTAAGCCTTCATAAACGACCATTCTCTGTTGTTTAACCCCGCTTTCCCTTACAAGAGCTCATTCTTGTAAGCGAAGAGCTCTTGTCTTGACCACTTTTTCGAATTTCAGAGGTGGTCACTTACAAACGCTTCAACTTTATTGTAAATGTTACAGGTCAAAATCATATTCAGGTTAAAATTTTTTAACCTCGGAAAATTCTCAATTTCCTTTGTCTCCTAGCCACAACTCATGGAGTAGCAGACAAAAGAAATTGAGAATCAACCTAGGTAAAAAAAATTAACCTGATTTTAATTTTGACCTATAACATAACCCAAAAAAAAGACATTTTGGCTCAATCTGATATCAACAAACCTTTGGCCAACTTTTTCTTGTATTTATTCTTTATTGCCAGCAGACTCTGCTCTAAATCTTCTCCTTCATCTTCATATCGATCAGGTTCCAGGAAGCTAGCGCTAAGACCCTTTGCTTGGCTTCTTTCCCGCATTCTACGCTGCTGATTTTCACGCCGCAACTGGGTTCTCAGCCTTTCATCCTCTTTCTGTTTAATAGAAGTAAAAGACAAACTTAGTGGATAGAGCACACATGCATACCAAGCTGGGAATTCATGATTGGGAATAACCGAATTCATGGGTTTTATGCTAAATATAGTTACAGTATTCAGTGCCAGAAAATAACAAGACATACTTGATAAAAGACAGTGGATTAGTAGGATNAAATTGAGAATCAACCTAGGTAAAAAAAATTAACCTGATTTTAATTTTGACCTATAACATAACCCAAAAAAAAGACATTTTGGCTCAATCTGATATCAACAAACCTTTGGCCAACTTTTTCTTGTATTTATTCTTTATTGCCAGCAGACTCTGCTCTAAATCTTCTCCTTCATCTTCATATCGATCAGGTTCCAGGAAGCTAGCGCTAAGACCCTTTGCTTGGCTTCTTTCCCGCATTCTACGCTGCTGATTTTCACGCCGCAACTGGGTTCTCAGCCTTTCATCCTCTTTCTGTTTAATAGAAGTAAAAGACAAACTTAGTGGATAGAGCACACATGCATACCAAGCTGGGAATTCATGATTGGGAATAACCGAATTCATGGGTTTTATGCTAAATATAGTTACAGTATTCAGTGCCAGAAAATAACAAGACATACTTGATAAAAGACAGTGGATTAGTAGGATCACTGGGAATTAGTGTAAACATAGTGTTAATAAAAAAAAAGTGAACTCTAACTTTCTAAACCACACATATAAACTAATTTTGGTAACTGCACTTAATAATAATAATAATAATAATAATAATAGAAATATATAGAAATTTATACACAAATGGTGCTAAACCTGTACTACATTTGCAAAAGAGCTAATAAAAGCTGACAAACACTAACACATAACAAACAGTACACTTAAAGAAAATGAGAATAAACACTACAATCACTGTACAGAAATTGTTTCAATGGGCAAATGTCAAATGAAATGAAAAGTTCTTTAGATCCTGCTTAAACCCTGAACACTCTGGATACTCCTGATAGCTGAACTAAGGGAGTTCCACAATGAGGGGCTAACATGAGCGAAGGCCCATTCCCCAAGGGTCTTGCACTTTGTTTAGAATGATCATTTTCATTCAATGCAGCTATGTAAATTTCTTAAAACAAAATAAAGTTTTTATACGAGAAAAGAGATTCATCCCCACAGGACTTTTTTGGTACACCAAATTGGCTGAGGTTTTATTGTTTGAGGAGGTATACCAAAATGGCTGTTATGTCGTCACGTGAAAACGATTTTATACCTTTGCTGTTGATTTACATTAATTAAAAAGAAGATAATAAGATAGACCATGCTTCAAAGAACTCTTACCTTTATTAGCTCAGTTCTCTGTGCTTCTGGGTCCATCCCTGCTGCTGAGAGCAGTTTAATCTTCTGTGCTTTGGATGCACGATCAGCAATGGACAGCGTCATTTTTCTGTGTGTCTGACTTGACGTGGAGTGAGGTCTGAAAGTGAGTTTCTCTTTGAACACCGACTGAGCTTGTAAACCAGTTCCCTGCACAAAAAAGGAACAAAAGAAAATAATTATTACTAATTTTTATAAACACTAACCACATCCATCAAGGGCTAACCAAAACAGTACTATCCAGAAGTTGAAAATTTGTTGCAAAACTTAATTCTCAACTCCATTCCTGATTCCAGCAAGAATCCAGTATCAAGAAGCAGTTATTGAGAATTGAGTAGTTATCATCAATAAAAGGAAAGTTTTATTTGCAGGTATGCAGTCGTGACTAACGGTGAGGTAACTTGATTCCTAACACTAATCTAAACACTTTCAGTCACACCTTCACCCCAAAGTATCAGTAATAATTATAATTAATAATATTATACAATTTCTTCTTTTTACTAGTAAGACAATTTTTTTTTGCTGTCACAGAGTATGTCATAGTATTATACAACTACAAACCTGCTGTACAAATAAGTGGTTAAAATTGCCATCAATTTTGTTTTTGTGAACGTCAAAAACCTCTCCAAGAAGCAATGATGTTGAACCATCAGACCATCTCACTATTCTTGCATTACTTTCTTTTATCTCATTCCCATCTTCATCTTTTCGGTATCTCCATCGAATTGTGTTTTCCACCTAGCCAAAAACAAAAAGACTGTGGTTGAAAGTTAAACCTTACCTCCAGCAATTCACGAATTACTGGTAACATTTGCTCATTTTTCAGTTTAGTCAATAACTGGTATTATAAATTATACATTGTACTCACTATCTATCTTCTCATTGGCTAGGATCCTACAGTTAATTTTGGAAATCAGTACAACCTACAGATCAGTTACTTATCTGCTAGCAGGTAACCGACTAATCTGCAATGCATGATTTCCAAGAACAATGACAAATCGGTTCTGTGTTAATAACACTTACCACAACCTTGATTATTTCAGATATCACAAAAGCTTCACCCAATAATAAATTGTTTAAAATTTGTTTTAATCCACATTATTTGCATGCTGCTTCATGTTTGAAAATCCACCTAAATCTATTATTTGCAAGCACATCACTCACGTGTTTCTAAAGGGCTTTTTAAACTTAACTAAAATAATGTTGGGTTTAAGAGAAAATTTTAAGCTCTTTATGCTTTATTTCCAGTATTATTTCAGGTGTATTAAGCTACCAGTTCTATGTAATTATTGTGTAAGAGCAAAATAATATGCATCAAACAGGAATATTTAGTATTATTGAGAAAAAAAAGTATTAGTAACTCCTTCTCATGTTGGCCATCTGAGCAAGAAGTCCCAACTTCGATTCCCAGGGGAGACGCCTTGTTTCAAATTCTATCCCCCTTCCATGCGACTTCAAGTGGCTTTAAGTACTTGTAAAAAAAGCACTTATAGAGTGAGGGGTATAAAATCAGGTTTCTTAATCAAAATAATGATGACTATTATGACCTACTGAGGTAAAGTAAAGATACCAACATTCAACATTAGTTTGCTTCCTGGCTAGTAATTATGATTCAAAGGGGACGAAGAGAATTCTGGGTTAGCCTGAGAACCAACTTTACCTAGCCCGAATGGGCTCATTAACTCAGAGGCCATGAGGGCGAGAGGAATAATTGTTTTAGTAAAATCCACCTAGTTGGTCAAAAATATCGAGAATAAAAAAGTTTATATAGTTAAAGCTAGACTTTAATCCTTTTTTGCTGCCAAAAAACCCGTGCTTTTCACTACTAATGGGCTATATCATGGATCCTGGTAGTAGCTCAACCAATCAGAACACAGCATTGATAATAGACCACTACTTGGATTTTACTAAGTAGATTTAGCCAAGGGCAAAAGCGAAATGTCTTTCTCAAGTAATAAGCCGTAAGCAAATTTAGCAAACTGAATTCCACCTTAAAAGCAGCTGACAATTATTGACCCTAACAGGAATGTCCAATACCAAGTTAAGCACAGATAGTATATTACACCTTGGACTCTAAGCTTGTAAATGTGCCATTTCACATCCGCTAACCTGAAGGGGTGGATGTATTTGCCAGAACCAAAATTTCTTGGATGCATAGATAACCAAATTTTCTTATGCATGGTGCTCCACTATGGGTGCTTCGTGTGCGCGAGAGCTTCGCTATAAAACAGCTATTTTTGACTACAAGAAATAAAAATAATTTGATGTTACCTTTAACTTGAGTCTAGCCCTTCCTTCCTCATCCAACACTTCATCTTCTTCCATTTCATCTTCATATAGAGCTGGATCAAATGGTTTCCGCTCAATACTCAAAAAGTTGGGCATTTTGACAAAATAGAGCTCGGAGCCAAGTGAGAATCTGCAGTAAGGTATCGTAACATCGATTCTTGTTTCCTCCTCCTCTTCTTCTTCCCCGTCCTCTCTGGTGATGTCATCAGAATCTGCAACTGCTTGAGTTTCATCAACATCACGGACTGGTAGCTCTTCATTTTGCACCATAGTTTGATCTTCTTTCTCTTCATGCTATAAGAAATGATTATTTTTATACACGAAGTAAGCAATGCAAGATTTAGTTCTTCATAAATACATGTAGAAGTTACTTTTAGCTTCTCTTTACACATGCAGTCTTTTCCAGTCTCATAAGATAGGCTTAAAACTCTAGGATAGACAACATATTAACAAGGCCTTCCAAGGAGGGTATACTGTTGGAATGTCAGTCATTTCTAAGACTGTCTGTTGCCTGTTAGGTTAGGAAAAAATGTTGCTGTTGCATTTCACCTGGGAAGAAAAATGTCTCCGTCGGTTCAGAATAAATTTTTGCAATACTCAATTTGGAATTTACAGCAGATAAAGTGCCTGAAAAGAATTAAGAATCTCGAGAGAGAGAATTATAAAACCATAATTAGAAAACGTTACAAAGAAAATAACAGGAAATGTTCAAAAATAATGGAAGAGAGTTTGTTCTTTTGCTGCCAAAACAGCAAATATGCAAAAGATAACAGATGTCGCTTTCACTACTTAAAAAATGGATTATCACTGTCCAAATTCTTTCCTTCTTTTCTGTTGATTGTCGATGCTATCTGAGAGGAATCAAATGTCACCATTTTTCCAGGCAATTTTGCCTGTCACTTCCACCTCTTGGAAGACTTTCTTTAACAAAACATATGATGGTATGACAGTAAGCTTCTACTGTCACACAAGTAGCAATGTGGCCTGGTGTTCAGTGCATCAAACTCCCAATCAGGAGGTCCTGGGTCCAAGTCCCACCCGATTCAGTTGTGCCAAGTCTTAATCCACACCCATGTTCAGGGTTGTCAAAAGTAGTCGGCCGCCAGCAAAAATCGCCGCCTACTTGGTTAGTATTGGCCAGCTACTCTGCTTAGCATTTCTTTATGGATGGCATTTTTTAAATAAAATATACTTGGACAGGCCGCTTACTTTGACAACTTAGCCATCGAGTTCAAAACTTTCTGACAACCCTGCATGTTTGTAAATAACCAACTGGTTGCCTCCTGCCAGAAGGGGTTTTGAATTCTGTTGTGTTATATTAATTTTGCATCATAGCTAGAGAAGCTAAGTGTGTTTCCCCTATAAACAAAGTATTTACATTTCGGTAACCATGGAAAATCCAGGATAACTTAGATCAGACTGTCGTTTATTTCTTAACATTTCCTTGCTATTAACACACAATCCATGGTAGCCTGCGAACGGCAGACGTTTCTCCTCGCTCATCGCCACCGAGGGACGTTTCACAAGGAGGAACGTCTGCGACTCAGCGACAGAAATTCCATACTGATGAAGTAAATCAATGTTTACATAATAAATCCGGTAGTCATGGGGTTCCAAATGCAAATTTGTTCAATTTTACCTTTCTCCTGGTCAATTTTGGTAAAGTGTTGTGTTGATCTGCGAACAACCTCCAGCAAAACTCAAATGCTTCTTTTAGAGGAGACTATATTCCACATATTGATTATTTTGTTGGAGATTCAGCGCGTTTACATTTGACCTTTGCGGCCTTTTGTCTTTTGTCTGTGATTAATAAACAATAGCTAAAACAATGAAACTAATCCATCGACCAATTAGCGCTTCTGACCGCATTCCGGACAGATTTTGCCTCATCAGTATGGAATTTCTGTCGCTGAGTTGCAGACGTTCCTCCTCGGGAAACGTCCTTCAGCAGCGATGAGTGAGGAGAAACGTCTGCCGTTTTCAGGCTAAATCCACAATTAAATTCTTCGTTTATGACCTATTTTCCAAAACTTTCATGGTGACCTGAACCAACAACTATGCTATTGTGAGAGAGAAAGCGAGCTTGGGTGTTTCTTAGTGTTGCAGAAACTACAGTTGGTTAACAATGATGTTGTGCTGTGGATGCCATTCAGTCTTTTCATTCCTTTGAGTTACAGTCGAACCCCACTTAAAGGAGCTGCGTCACGAAATTCAGCCAAATTAGGAAATTACAAAATGCCCGTTAAATTAAGAGAAACATTAAAATAACTGCTTAAAACTTTAAAGGAAGGTTAAAATGACATAACAGAAACAACAGATGCCAAGGATGGGCAAAACTGAAGAAGATTGAAACGGATTGAAATTAGGGTTTTTGAAAACTGTTCAACCTAACAGTTTTTCAAAGTTGATTCCTGCTGCTTGCAACTTCAAAAATAATGCTCAGGAGACATATTTGTTTGTCACGGATCTCTGATTTTGTCATTTACATGTCATTTCTTTGCTTACTTTAAGTTCTATAGCGATCGAGGGCGAGTAATTGTTAAAAAATTAAACAAAATGAACTGAACTGCCGTGACACAGCCCCTTTCACAGATAGCTGCTTAATACGAACATCTCATTATTACGGACAGTTTCCTTTGTCCCTGGGGAAAGCACTTACATTTTCTCTAAATTCAACCCGCTTAATACAGACACCCATTAATGCAGACAATGGACACTTGTTTCTGGCCCAATCAACAGATTCTCATAGGAAGTTAACCTCGCAGACACTTCATTATCAACTGTGTGCCATAATAGTCAGAGACCTTTCCTTTTTGAAGGAGAAAAAACCTTCATTTGACAGCATGTTGATGTTCCCAGCATTACAGTACACTCAATAGGATGAGTTGTGTGAGTTCAGACTTTTGCCGACAAAGAAGTGATGCAAAGAACAGTTCTGATAAAATAATTCTTGAAAGTAATATATAAATGAGCAATTTTTAGTGTTTCTGTGGATTTAGTCCGCCAAATGATGGCTTTGTGAAGGTTATAGATGTTAAATTTGACGATGCTCCATCATTTCTTTTGTTCTAATAAAAAGTGTTTTTCACTCCTTAATAACATGACCCGCTTAATACGGACACTTTCTTTGGATCCTTCAGTGTCTAACAGTGACCAACATCGATTTTCTCCCAATGACATCCATACATTGTCAAGAGACTAGGTTATGAGAATTAATAAAATGATCACCTAAGAGAAAATGCCTTAATCTTTTATCAAATTCTCTCAACACATTCTTTATGGAATGTATAGAGATCAGTTTGGAGAAATTGTATGTGGATATTGGGGCTTAAAGGGTTAATGGCGTTTGACTGTCCTTTATTTCATGATGACACTATCTGTAACACCAAGTAAACAGCCACAAATTTGAACTTAAAGTCTGAAGTCCCTTAACGATGTGCAGTAGCGTAAGGTGAAATTGATGGGAAGTTTAAAATACTAAATAACTTTGAGTAGACAAACCTGTTCTTCGTCTGATGAAAGCTCCTCATCATCTC